GTTTAGACCACTGACATGCAGCTTGTAAAACAGTGTTTGCACACTGTTTACATTATCTCTGATGTCCTCTAACCTTCTTAACACTGTCTTCAGTGGCAGTTGCACTACATTGCAACTAGGTATCCATCATATGGTGCTCAATGACACACAACCTCCATTAATCACACAGTTAGAGATCAATTAATGCAAAAACAAATGAATACGAGAATATGAGGATCAAACCTAACCATAACTCACAAAAAGCCATTGTTAATGATCATGGAGCCAGCAGGTATAAAAATCATTATTAATTAAGATCTGACATTATCCTTTTTGACAAAGCATGGTGTGTTCAGTTGAGATGCGACAGAAGTTCTTATTGATTGGCCTTGTGTTAACAACTATAAGTGGGTTGTGCATATCTAACTTTAAATAAATGATATTTCATTATTTGGATCCCTGCCTCTTTAAGAAGATAAACAATCATTAATGGCTTTAGATCTAAGGGCTTATAGACTTCATTTCAACTTTTCAAAATATTTTGTTATTAATGCACATAAACAGTGCTCTGTTCAACCACAAAACTATTTATTTTATTATATTGACTATGTTTCTGTTAATACAACTTCAATACTAACCCACTGCTTGAATAAAGGTCTACTAGAGCTGCTGCTATAACTATTACTCATCTCCTCCTATCTCTAACAATATTAGTGCTGAAATAGCCTCTACTACTATTACTTAGAACTAATATTCTAAAAATGCTAAAGTTTCCTACAGTTACTACTACAACTAAACATTTTTCTGCACATGAACATTCACACATGGACAGATGTACACACACAAACAGTGGAGAGTAATAGCCTGGCACATGTTCAGATATGCGATGACACTTCCTGGTTGTGGCAGCTGTGCCTCCTTAGAGGGTCATTATGTGCTTAATCATTCTTCTCTCATTAACATAAATGATCCTGGTTTGTGATCGTTTCACTGCTATGATGGAAAACAATGATATGCCTGCACTCACAGTGACTCTCAAGGCATGTGTTCAGCAATTTGTCAGTACCTTCGCAAAGAACTAATGAAGAGGGATCGATTCAAAAGTTAATCCAACTGCACTGTAGTAATTACAAGGTTTTCATTAAAGTCTAACTCAGTTTGTTATAGGGTAGTACAAGGAAAACCTATGGGGATATACAATATGTCACAATCACAGATGTGTCTCTGGCAGATCACACTGTTATTTTGCTGTAATTTCACACCTGTGAGGCGGAAAGCAAGTCACAAAATTATAATTTCCTTCAGAATCTGACAATTATGATGAGAGAAATGGTGAAATGAATTACTTAGAATCAAAGGCCTGACCTCAATGCCTTCAATCTTTTGGATGAACCTGTAGCTGACTGACTGCAGAGCATCTGAGGTCCAAGGATGGAACCAGTCAACAGTGGTACATTGAAAAAGGGCTGGGAATCGACGGGCCCGAACATGAAGGGTATTGCCCACAGGAGACAAACACAGTACCACCTACAGAGAAGCAAGCAGGAAGACTGTGTCACCTAGACACACTTGCATAAACTCACATGTACATTCCCATACTTGAGCATGGTAAGATATACCGTCACACTGAAAAATCAACACAGTTCATAGAAACCCATAACTGGCAGCCTTCTAGGCCCCCACTTTCATCTCCTTGGCATGTGAAAAGGCACCAACATTCCCAGTTGGCTGGAGCACACGGCAAAGCTACCAGAGGCCCTGGCACAAAGATTACAGCAGCTAGACAGCATACATATGTATTGAGACAAAGAGTTCCTCATTTTAACATAATTTATTTGGCTCTCTAAATTCACCTTGTCAAGCATATATAATAATTTTATACAGTATCAGTGCTTTTACCTTTTCTTTTTTGCTCAAACATGCTAGAAAATGTGTAAGATTTTCTCAATTTTTTGCTGTGGTGGCACATTGAAGTGCTCCAAAAAATTTCTACAATCTTATTACTTATATGTGCAAGTCAATTCAAAAAGGCTTTAAAAAAAAAAAGAAAAAAAAAAACTTCTTGGGTATTTTTGCCTTTATTTCACAAGTTGGTCACAAACAGGAAACGAGGAGAGGAAAGACCTTCAACAATTGTCTGCAGCTGGACTCGAACTGCAGATGTCTCACACACACACACACACACACACAGTGTGCGTACATACATTGTGCGGTCTGAAACCACTTACCTAAAGCGCCAAGATTGTTTTTTGACCATCAATCTCCAACTCATTTTATGTGGAAGAACGACAAAATAACAGTATTTTCAGACTGATAAAGTTCGAAGCACTGCTCAAGTAAATAATAAACAAATTTAAAAGACGAGACCGTGAGTGTTAGCTGAACTCGATCAGTAAAGTATCTCCAGCAGTTTTCTTTGGTGTCCAGCAGCCCAAGGGCACGAACCTCAGCTCTCACACCTGACACAATATCTTCAATCTCTTCCTCACTGAAGAGATCGGGAATTTCTCCTGGAAAGAAAGACACAGTCATCAATATTCACTTTTCTGACAATGTTATCATTTTAGAGTGACTGTAAAGACTGAATAGGTTATGACATACAAAACTGTAATAACAGTCACACAACAACAGTGTTGGGTAGATATCAACATCCAGTTCTACAACCACAGGTTTGCCCGCTCAGACAGGCACAACATCATTGTCAGAGAGTTTGTATCCGACCTGATGCCAGGAAGTCATTGATAATGACAAGAAACTGCTCATCAGGTATCTGAGCATCAGTCAGGAGTAAAGCCACATGCTGGTTCTTCACTCCAGTCTTTAGGAACAAGCCAGCCAGATCCATCTAAATAAAAAACACATGTCATGTATAGAAACCTAATGTTTAATGTTCACACTAAAATGCAGTCCACTGGAGAATATTGTCCAACAATAATCAATTGGCTAACACAAGTACGATGATAACACCTTGATTTTAAAAGGGGCTATTAAATGACTGACTTGCTTCATCAATGAGATATTGAAATATTTTCCACTGTCTTTAATAGTATTTGACATCATTTCCTGCATCACTGGTGAAGCTGGACCGAAACTGGACTTCTATATCCTGCATGCAGCCAGATGTAAAATTAATCTAGAGATTTTTACTTAAAGAAACCAAGCTAATTATTCACATTTTGCAAAGCAACAATGAAATTTAAGGCAGTGTCAAAGGACTATAACTACAAAGAGCTCATTAAAAGGTTATACATTTTCATAAAGGCATATTTTATCAAGTTATTCTGCGCTTGAAGTTTTGTCTGGTTGTAACCTATTGAAGACATTAATATTTACCTTGAGGTCCTGGATGCTATAACCCTTACTCAGGGTGATTTGGAAGACTTCCACAGAGGATATGTAGGCAGCCAGACGAGTCAGGCTCTGCTTCCCACTGCCCCCAACCCCAACCAGTAAGCCATGACCCCTTGGAGTCTCCAGGATACGACTGATGCGACAACTGGTAACAGCACAATATTTCTTATGCCACTAAATACATGCATGTCTCCAAATACTGACATATAAAAACAATGTCTTCAGTCTCCACAACAGCTGTAAGAAGTGTTTTTACACATTTCTATAAGTCATATAATTTCACGTTGAGCGGAACCAGTTGAGGTGGCTCGGGCACCTGTTTAGGATGCCCCCTGGACGCCTCCCTGGGAAGGTATTCCGGGCATGTCCCTCCGGGAGAAGGCCTCGAGGCAGACCCAGGACACGCTGGAGAGACTATGTCTCCTGGCTGGCCTAGGAACGCCTTGGGGTTCCTCCTGAGGAGCTAGAGGTGTGTGGGGAGAGGGAAGTCTGGGAGGCTCTGCTCAGGCTACTGCCCCCGCAACCCGGTCCCGGATGAAGATGGATGGATGAATTTCAACTTCCCTTTTTATAATAAACTGCCCACTCTGTATATTTCCTAAAATAGCTTATCATTTTCTCAGTGCTTTTACATCCTGCTCGATGTGTTATTAAAGTTGTGTTTATTAAACACATGTTGCATAGCATCCTCAAACAGTACCAGGGTCATGGCTGCATTGAGCTCATTGTAGCTTTCCAGGGCATCTGTGAGGATGGACCTGAGCAGAGACCAGTCTGTGACAGGAGCATAGGAGGCTTCCTCTCCCATTTTGGCAAAGTGGCAATAAAGGAGGGGCTGCTTTGTCACCTTTTTGTCCTCCAGTCCCTGGACGAGGACGAGCATAATAAATCATCTAAATTTGTCAGCCAGTGTTGTCAGCCAATGTGGTTATCTGAAGGTGAAGAACAGCAATTTGTACACTGTTTACACTGCCTATCAGAATCTGTATTACACCTCAAAGCATTCATGTGCAGTCTCCATCTGGAGCATCCGGAAAAGCTGCAGGTCCTTGACATCTACCAGTCTGTCTGAATACACTCTGCTGGACTCGTGGAGCCACAGCAGTGCCAGGTCAGTGCTCTCTTTCACACTCTCAGGCCCAGCCAAGAGAATGCCCTAAATAACACAGATAATCAAATAAATATTTCACTTTTCATTGAAAGGCCCAACTGTAAAATGTGCTTGTTCTCAGAATTACCTGAAAGACATTAGACAAGTCTCGTAGATTAAATGTATAATGAAATTTAATGGCTGTTGGGAGAAAGCTGCGAACCATCTTGTCATGAAGAGTTACCGCAGCCTGGACTACAGCCGCAGTGCTCCTCTGAACAAGTGAACTGAAGGCCTGCTGCTTCAAGTGGCCAGACAAGATCTGACTGAAGATGAATGCCTGAGCCTCAGATGAAGGAAAGTTCACTGCGAACACTGAGAAATGTCTCTGTAGAAAGGATAGGCACAACCAAACTGAAAATGTATAGTAGGGTTTAATTTGAATTATTAAAAGACTTTAACTTAAGTGTGACTTCCATCTAATCCCAAAAACTTCAAATACATTCTTTGCAGTAATTTTTAATTAAAACCAATTTATCTGAAAACATGTACTGTATTTAAAATACACAATACAGGCTTGTTTTTGTAGTAGTCCCTGTATCAATATAGAAACCACCCCCACCCTTCCCCATGAGGAACTATCCATGAGATGTCTCTTGCAGTACATGTTGACTGTCCATCCTTCATATGAATTCAGTCATTAGTCTCCAAGTCTGTTCAAAATCTTTCAACCTGTCCCTTAAGATGTAGCAAATTCTCTCCAAGTGAAGTGTGTCAGTCAGTGTAGCAATCTGATGATTAAGAGAAGGTACCCCTTTCTTCTTCCAGAATGTCAAAATGAGTTTCTTTGCACTCAGGAGGCCATAGGATGGAAGCTGGTGTTGTGAGCTTAAGTTTGAAATTTGAAATGACAGACTTTCCTAGTATCACCAAAAGTGGATCTATCTGAGTGCTAAAAATCTTTGGCAAGAATACAAATATTGCAACCTAGCACTCGTGTAATTGGGGGCATGAAGCCAAACTATGAAGTATATCTATTTAAAATTCAACTTTAAAGATTAAGAGCAAATTTTACTGGCACACATACCTGCAGTCTGGGGTTAATATTGAAGCTCCCAGCCGTCGGATTCATACAGGCAACATACTGGCTATTATGTATTTCTTTTAGGGTCAGTTTCTGTCTGTCATACCTAAAGAGGGGAAAAAATGGAAGAAGGCTTGATTTAATTGATAAAATGTTTTATGCGGCGATATAATATGCAAACACGTGGGATTTTCTCACCAGTGTCCATAATCCAGATGCTGGCGTATAAGTGTATGAGGCTGCACTGTTCCATAACTGTCAGAGGCTGGCATGTTTATATCATCTATAAAGTAGACCAGCCTTCTGTTGCCTACAGGGGAGTAGCTTCTGCCTGCTCTTTTCTCTAATTGTTGCTCGAGGATACCTGCAAGAGAAAGCAAAATGATCAATCAAACTACAGTTATCCAACACAGAAAAACAATAGCTTTTTTAAAACACTAGAATAATCTTACCCAAACCAACTTTGGAAAATGTGAGAGTATCATAGGACTAAGGTAATGACGGCAATAATATCTGAGGGTAAAGTTTTCTCCCCCCTCACCATTTTGAATTTGAACATCACCAGCAGATGGTGCAACAGTTTACTTGATGTGGACAGTTTACTTGATGTGGCACTTTGTTCCACAGTCACAAAACCCCACTCACCCTGTAGTGTGAGAGAGGTAGTGTAGTAGTTGAATGGTACTTTTGTAGTCATGTAATTTTCTGGCAGACAGTCCAACTTGTTCCTAACAAGTGCAGTCTTTCCCACTCCAGCATTCCCCACAAGCATCACGGGTTGTCTCCTGTCCAGCAACAAGTCCATGAAGTACCGGAGACGTACAGTCTCTGCTGTGTGTACTAGAACAGCCTGCAATCATAAAAACAGCAGGAAGACAGAGAACAAAAACACACATAGTTATTAAGGCTTTATTTGAGTGTGATTTATTGACAGACATGTGGTCAGTGAATTGTATGTGATTTATAATTTCTTGTATTTCCCCAGTACACCACAACTATTCTGTCATAATAGCATCATTTGCTCAGAACAAAACCCCGCTAATTATGGCTCAGCAAGAGCCTTTGGAGCATTCACAGCTGTGCGCAGGAGCATAAAGAAAGACAATAGAGCGTGGGTGATAGCTCAAACCTTGTTGTTCATGCCTCCACCCCCACACAGTCTGGTATGGGGTCTGGTAGATGGTAATCAGACACAGTGGAAAGCCTATCATCCATTCTTGCACCCCTGACATAACCTCATGATGTGACTTTACCCTCTCTTATTATGTTCACTGAGGCATACATACATTTTTAATATGACTGTATTGTTCATTTTTGGTTATTTTTCTTAAAGAAGGTTGCTTCTTGTAATTGTGAATCTGATTATCAAACTGCTTGGAAAGTTTGTAGTTACATGAAGGGTCTTACTCCCACATAGTTATAGTATCGTATATGTTCTTACCGCTAATGGTGTACAACTTTCCATTTCAAATGGAGGCACAGCATCACTCCAGGGCAGGAATCGTCTGGTTTGAGGGTCGAGGTAATAGTCAAACACTGTCCCCTGTGCTGGTAGCTTTACTGTCTTCATCTCTTTTGTCCACCACTGACTGAACTCTACCCGATAATCACAGATCTAGACAAATCATTGAAGATATAAAGGAATATCATTTCAATGGACAAGCCCACCATTAATTCAAAAGAAAGACAGTTAATCTTATATTACTGTGGGTCACTTGACCCATCTCTCAAAGGGCACTGTGTCGCACCTCACCCTATATTTTTACCTTGCAGAGAAAGACAGCTGTACAAAGATGAAGCATGGAGTTAAGTGGAGTGATAAATAAGTGGAGTATCACCAGGAGTATTAACAAAGTATGCAATAACATTGTTCAACTTGATGTTGCATGCCCAGTTACTGCATACACTATAACCTGTATATTCAAGTGAAAAATGTATTATATCTGGTAATGGGACAAACTGAAATAAAGCCCAAGCTTTATTAAGTTTTATTAGAACAAAATCTGTTCTTCATACTTAAAAGTTCCTCAATGAATTTCACCCAATTGAATTAGACCAAAATATTACCTGATCTTTATACAGGGCCCCACCAAAGGCCCAGATGCAGGCAAAGGTGAAGTAGGTTTCATAGAGCTCACGTGGGGAGTCAGATGGAATATTTTCTGTTGTTAGAAGGCAGTCAAGCAAAGTGCAGAGTGTCTGAATGAGGAAAAAAATAACTTATGATTTTCTGACTGCATACACATACAAAGTACTAATAATGTTTATGCTGGGGTGTTATGTACCTGCACCACAGAGTTCTCTGGGATGGGAGTGATGGTCTTGAAGGTGTTTCTTATCTGCTCGAGACAACGAGGAACATACTTTTCAAACAATATAGTGAGGTGGGCCCTCTCTGTTTGGCGTTCTCGTCGGTCAATCCAGCTGGCAACGTACCTAATGAACAATCCATAGAATAATTTTATACTACTGTGCTTATTTTAAGCGGCACTCCTTGTCTTTTGTCTAGGACAATACATTTACACTAATGTACAGTGGGATCGATGCCGTGGTGGCAACATAGAGAGTTTAAACAATACAGCATCTTTGTTGCAATAAGGAAATGTGTTTTCCTTATAGCTATAAAAAAATAATTAAGAAAGCACTACACTTGAAAACCTCAAAAATGCTTTGATACCATGTGAATATAAACTTTGTGACTCACGGGTTCCAGCCCAAATCCTGTTGGTTAACATAAAGGATTCCTGCTCTGGACACCGTAGCAGGAGTGGCTGTTCGTAAGTGACCGACTTCAAACACAAGTCTCATGGAAGAGGTAAATGGTATGCGTTCATTACTAGCCAGCGTCAGGACCTAAAGCATTATATGGAACAACAGGAATTCCAAATATTACAACATTTGAACGCTTCATATGAGAGATAAGACTCTACCCAAATGATAAGGTAAACACCTTCATATAGTATCTCATCAGGTTTGATAGACTTGCTTTAGAATATTTCAAAAGGCACAAGATTGCTGTGACATGATTTATTGCTCGGCAAAAATACCTCCAAGTACTTACTCTCCAGGTGATTGTTAAAGGAGGGGGAAAGAAACATCTTTCTCAGTCCGTACAACCTTGGTTGCTGTGTGTTGTACAATAGTGTGAGAGTTAACAGGAGGGAGGTACCTTATTGTCATCCATCACTGTGTTGAGTGATTCAATCCACATCGGATCAATGTCTCCATCCAACACAATCCACTTTGGTCCTGGGTGGGAGATGTTTGCCTGCTCCCGCATCAGTGATGAAAGCAAACCTTACACAACGAATGAGGGATGCAAACAACAACTTAAATTAGAAGGTATAAGCACTATTTACACATAACCTAGTTTAGAACAGTTTCTTGTGTTACCATCTTTCCACTCTCGAGTTGCAGGATGGATGAAGCCAAACAATTCATCTCTGTCTACTGCTTTTGGATTGAGGTCATTCCATACAGGCTTCCTCTTCAAGTTTACATAGGTTTTATGAAGAACTCGCAATATCTGTTTAAAATATAAATATATGTCATTTGACATATACCTAACAAAATTAAGTTGAGAATTTGCTTTTACATTTGAAGCATAAAACTCTAACCTGGCTTTTCCCAGTCCCTGCATTTCCAACAACAAAGACAGAATGACGCACTGCCATGAGTTCCTCTAACTGCACCACCTGACAAAATAAAGATGCATACAAAAATATTTCACTCTTTCTTTAGCCACTGATCAGGTAAAAACTATAGCTTGTTTCAAACCTTAATGATAAATGTCTCCTCAGGCTGAAGACGGAGCTCCAGTGTGCTCTTCCGCACGGCCTTTTCAAATTCACAGTCTCGCTCTCTTTCCACCTCCAGGCCTGGGAATAAGTCTTCCAGCAGTCCCAAAAAGATAGTCACATCCTCAGTGACAATTTTTGGCATGTTGAAGTCCCTCAAAGCACGCATTAGCACCTAAAAGTAAAACACACTTACAGAATATAATGGGCAATGATTCCTCCTTTTGTAACTGTGAGATTACATACACATACTGAATAAGTCACCTGATCCTCTGGTCTCATCCTGCCTCTTCTTCTCAATGTCCCTGCCACAACCAGAACAGACTTGACAGCACGCAAACCCCAGTCATAGTGGTCCTAATAGACAAATGAAAAGACACACTAAAGATGTGTATTCCTGTGTCTACACTTGCCATAAATCATATCATACAAAGCACTAAGATTTATTCAATGGTTTCTCTTGAGGTAGAGCTGAAAAGATTTTTGATGGTTTCTACTGAAATCCAATATTGTGAAATACAATAGTGCTACTTTTCCATTGCTTTTTCCTACCTGCTTGGAGAGTAGTTCTTTGCAGAGAGTGTACAGAGTGATGAACTTCCTGGCTAAAAGTTTAGCATCACGAAAACCTTCTGCTACCAACATTATCTCACAAATAAGCTCAGTGTCAGGAACCACCATGGCACAGGGTCTATAGCAGGACACAGATAGTGCAGAGACTGTATTTCATGCATAATAAAGGCAAACTATGAAGAAAACTACTATGTCATCCCCACCTGAAAAGAGCTTTGAGGTTCTCAGGTAGCTCTGTCCTTCCTGCATAGCCAGGATTCATAGTGATAAAAATCCCTACAGAGGGCTTTAAGACAATCTCCTGATCAAGGAACTGGAACCTGTAAGGTTGCAAAGTGTTACCTTTTTTATATGCACGCAACATTAGAACCATTTATAACTTCAGCTTCAGTTACTGACCTTTTCTTCTTACAGCGAATGGCATCCTGTATAGTTTTCACCTGCACTGCTACAACTGATAGAACATCTCCAGCTATACGATTGAACTCATCAAAGCAGCCCCATGTTCCAGTCTGGGCCAGACCCTTATAGATATTTCCAATTGACTAAACATAAACAAATATTACATTTTGCATCTAAATGTACACGTTTACTGAAACACCTAATTACATGAACTGAGGAAAGGGATCATTTATGACCTATATGCTGAATTTCTCACCTTGTGGTCCATTTGTTCTGAACAGTTGAAGATGTATACCATGATGCCCATGGCTCTGCCAAGATCCTTGGTGGTCTCCGTCTTCCCTGTTCCAGCGGGGCCTGATGGAGCTCCACCCATAGTTAGGTGAAGTGACTGAGTCAAGGTGATGTAGCATCTACATTTGGTAATAACACAGAAATAAAAATGTGCTTTTCAACCATATAGCAAATGTCTTGAGACATTACATGCACACAATGAAAACTGATAAGTAGCAGAATTACCTGTCTGTGAGGGGAGTGATGACTAGACGTGGTGTATTTCCAAGATACTCGTAAGAGTAAAGGAACTGAGCATCGCATATATTAACATAGCAATGGTGCTGTTGTTCATTCCAGCAATGTCGAAGCTGGGAAAGCCACTGGAAGGCCTGTGAGTTGGTGACCTGTAAACACAGATGGCTGCTATCAAACTACAGTATGTCAAAGAGATATATACAGTATGTCTCATAAGAGACAGTACAGTTGAGATACTCGCAATGAGCAGCACAATGATCATAAAGAGATAATACTGTCTTGTTTTAGTCTAAAACTATAGTCTATATTTAAGTCCATCTGTTTCATTGTGATTTAAAGCTTTGCCATGTTTAGGTTTTGAAAGTAAAAGAGTCAGGAAATGTACTGTTCTCACATTAAGGCCTTATTACTTTACCTGTTATTACTGAATGTTTGTTGTGTTGCCATATACAGGCTGCAAAGTGCAAACTAACAAAGCAAAATATGAAAACACACAATGGCATCTTGTATATATACACACTATACACTTATTTGGAAAAAAAATGTTTTAACATTTTCAATATTAGTTCAGTCACATAAAAATGAAATATTGATAATGGTATGATTTGCTTGTGTAAACCTTCTGGGAAATAAGGCAGGTAACAATGTCTCTAGCATGGACATCAATTGTGCATATGGTCATGATCTTCTGTCTGTCGCCTGAGCTCAGCTCTCCTAGCAATATGCTGATCAATGAGTTGAGCTGAGAAATCTGGAGAAAGAAAGAAAAACAAATCTAATGCTGAAGAAAACAGGTGTAAAAAAACAAGAATATCACTTTAAATTCACATGACTACACTAGCAACAACATGATATAACCTGTCTCGCTTGTATTGTTAAGTAACCAAAGTCATTAAAGCTTCCATCCAGCAAAACAAATTTGACCTTATGGTCAGAAACAGCATCATACACTAATCAAGGACTGGGACTTTAAGACAAAGTAGTTTTAAGTTTGTTTTGGCTAAAACATATCTGGATGCTTTACACAACCTCTGTGAGAGCACATTCAATCAGTGCAGTAGAGTGGGGTGAAGGTGAGAGCGATTATTCAAACAGTAGCCAAGGACGTGTTAACCTTAAAACAGTACTCATTAACCCGACATGAGCAACAATACAACTATGAGCAACTAAGCTTTTTACACTGATGTGATTATCATCTGATTACTATGTTTAATTTTAACTGTATATAAAAATTCTAAATCAATTTTTATTGCAGCAGTGGATCTTTAAACCTACTGTCAATTTATATATTAACTGATATTGTAATCAAATTAAACCAAAAAAAAGTGCTGATTTATGTGTTTTAAGGAAATTGTTTGAAGTGGTGTTGTACTTTAGGTGGAGTTGTTATTTTAGGTATTTTTTTGCTGTTTTTAACAGAGAGGCTGATGGGAAAACAGGGACAGAGAAAGAAAGAGGGGAGAACTTGTGGCATCCAGACAAACCTCTGTCATTGCATATGCAATGTGCATATATAGTACATGGTGTCTGTCAAAAAACCACAAGGCTATCGACGCACCCAAATGCTACTTTTGTAAAAAGTTACTCAAACTTCAAATTATATGGTACCTTGTAAAATCAAATCCAGCACATGGGTCATTTATCTTATTTTAAGCATTTGATAAAATATCATCATCATTTGTCAAATTTATAGGGCTTTTCAGCTTCAAGAGAAGCATTTGTTACCTCAAGATAGTCTGACACACTTTGCTTACTGTAAAAGGGACCATTAAATAACTATTCATAATAATTTTTAACCCTTAAGAACACATTTTTGTCAACTAAGCCACATTGAACTATTTAAATAATATTAAATATGTTCATCCAAGATAAAATGTACCTGTTTCTTGTTGTAGTCTTTTAGTGCAGACTCAAATCCTTCTTCCAGTCTTTTAAACACGAGCTCCATGTCATTGCTCCACCAGATCTGAGATCCAATCAAAGCCACTTGGGCAGGAAAGTCAAGAATCCACTGCTCTCTGGGTCTGTCCTCATAAACAGACACAGCCTCAAACAGGTGACCCCTAACACATTCCTTCATGGACTCCTCCAGAGAAGTAAGCCATGCCTCCACCTAATGCAAAGTATTCTTATCATTAGTTATTTTAGTGGGATGCCAAATTCATATTCTTCAAACTGAATGTGATCTTACCGGCCCAAAACAGCAACATTCAGTCTGAAATGGGACATGCTCCCTCTCTTTGCTATACATGCCCACCGCAAGTTTAGGATTATCCAACTGTTCATTGTTAGCAAATTCAAGATCTGACATGTTGTCAAACAGTTTTGCGAGGTGGACAGTTACCTGCAAAACACAATCACTCATTACATTTTTCATGAAAAATATAATGCACTTAAAATAAAAACAATGACATGGGATAAATATTAAAACCAAAAATGAAGAAAAGGTAAAAAATTCAGCAACACTTGCAGTGTGTAGGACAATATTATTAAAAGACCAATGTGTTTTGGCTTGTGGCTTTCATCAAAAAAAGAAGGGAAACTACCTCTTTGGGACGACTCCCTTTGGAAAGAATGTCCAACAAGTCTGCAGATGAAATAAAGTAGAATCGTGGAAAGGCAAGTCTCTTCATCTCCAGGTAATCAGCAAGAGCTTTTTCACACAATGCTAGCCTGTGAAAAGAGAATGTATGGGAATGGTGACCACAGAACTTTAAACTGTATTGTAAAATAATAAGTGAGCAAACTTTACCTCTTTTGTAGATTCTCTAACTTCTCAAACAGATTAGGTTTGTTGGTGGTCTCAATGACATTTTTGGTCTTAGCACTGTCTAACATTAACTCCTGAAAGAAACAAAATTTATATTTACAATGATGATAATAAAATTAAACTATGCAGCTGGCATACAAGTGCAGACCTGAAGTTCTTCATCTATAGCTTGGAATCTGTGCACATCTGCAGGCAGCTGTTTGCAGATGTCATCACAGCCTTTAAAGATGCTTTCCAAGTGTGCCCAAGTCCTCTGGACCTCCATCCAGACCATCAGCACAGACTCCGCCACAGTGAGCTCTTTTTGTAGTTCCACCACCTGGAACAGGAAGTGGTCTACATGCTTGCTCTGGAAGATGATTTGGAGCTGAACCTTGAGCATGAAGACATAGGTACAAGAGCATAGTCTATCTGAAGGATTTGGATCAATGTAAGATTCAGATAACCCAAAACATAATTTCAGTGCATATTCAAAGTCATCAGCATGCAATGTCATAAAACAGTGGGAGAGAAAAACAGTGTCTACACAAAGATAGAGGCACTAAAGTGTCAAGACTTCTAATTACTGGTTGTAAACACCCAATACATCTGGTGTACATGTACAAAGACCGCTAGGATGCAACAATGCCCTGTGCCCTACAGCATCTATAAATCTAAGGACTCAATAGGGACCCCTCTATTCTCAGACGTGCTGTTAGACAATGGTATGGGGCAACGCCTTTCTGCATCCTCATCTCTATTCAGCACTTAACTGTCGGTGCTTCTCACAGACAACTGATCTTAAAAACTAGTTCTTCTGCTTTACAACCATTATGCATCTTTCTGTGGTTTAAGGTCACCCATAAAATCTCTTTCTCAATAACTTAGATAATTACCTGATGATCCTCAAGAGTTTCAATAAGTTTCTCATCACATTTAAGTAGTGGCAAAGAGGTTTGGTAATGATCCTCATATGAAAGCTCCACTGATGCCCATGTTTGACTTATTTCTGTTACAATCTGAAACAGAAACAATAGACAGAATAATAATAAAAGCAACTGGATGCTAACTGTTATTGGTATTCACTACTATACATTTAGGAGTATATCGTGAACCAAATAACTATAGCCGTCCCATTTGAACACTATGCATAAACTGAATGATTGTGTTTTTATGGATGGAGAACATTTTCCTATGCTAAATAAACAATTTAAAAATAGATACCATCTGATTATCACAAAGAAGGAAAGATGTCTGTGTTTTATAATTGCATGAAAAGGTGATGTTTTGGAGATAGTTATCAGAGGGGAGCAATGTAATGGGCCATGTTCATGAGGCTGGCTCCTAGATCAATGTCATCACTTTTTTCATAAACATCCTGAGGTAAACACTGTCAAAGCTCCAGATCTAGTCCCCAGCTTTGAAGAAGTCATATAGAACCCTATTCATAATACACAGTAGTGTTGTTTGCTTTTTCAGCACATTATACTTCAACCAAAACATGCAGCAATATAATGTCTATAAAAAAATAACTAAGCTAATAAATAGCTAAGAGGTTTCATAGGAAGTTATATAGTAGGAATAATTGTTCCTGTATCCATATTTATCACTATTTTTTTAAAGTACATGCTAACTAGTTAATCGATAACATTTTACCAGAAATTGTGTGGGGTACAGTATGTCACACTTTAACTGATCATGAGAAAATGACTACTGATGTTGGTATCTGACCATGATCTATTTATAATTAAAAAACAACCTTCTCGATGGCCATTTCTTTGACCGCCTTATCCACTATGTTGTGAACTTCATCTTCAAATAAGTGGAGCTGCAGAGCCAAGAGGTCTTCTAAGGTGGTACTGTCGGTTAGAGCGAAGTCCATCTATTTAAATAAAAATGTCATGATGCAAAGTCTCAGATTTCTATCATGCAAGTAAAAAGCTGTTCAATAGCAAGACCTCTACTGTGTATTTGTGTACCTGTGTTGTTCTAATTAGCTGCACCCAGTGGCGCTCTCTTATTGCCAGATTTTGTAGCTGACTCACAGCCCGCAGTGACGTCAACAGGTTCTTTACATAAAGGTCTAACCCAGAATACACATCCCATGCTCGAGCTTCTTTGTCAAGCTTCTGTATGTCCTACACAAACAGAAGGTAGGTAAACATAATTGGTTATTAGGGGCATCTGTTACAAACAGCAATGGTGCATGACAGCAAAACAGCAGGAGAGATGCGCTTGTGTGATGTAGCACTGTTGGTTACCTCACCTTGGCAAACCTCCTCAATTCTGCATCCATCTGGTCCACGTTTATCTGCCTCCATTTGGTCTTTGTCCAGTTTTCCACACTGCTCTGTACAGATAAAGACACATGCGGAGGGGTCAGTGGGGTGAGGATGTTTAATGGGGACGGCTGTGGCTCAGGAGGTAGAGAGCAAGTCATCTCCTAACCGGAGGGTTGCAGTTCGATTCCCAGCTTCTCCGGTCTACATGTCAAAGTGTACTTGAGCAAGACACTGAACCCCTAGTTGCTCCCAGTGATATCATCGGTGTGCGAATGAGTGAATGGGAAACTGTTTAAAGTGCTTTGAGTGAACTTAAATGCATAGAAAGGCACTATACAAGTACAAGACCGTTTAGAGGCTAAAAGGTGTTGAAAGAATCAATGACAACCTCCAAGAGGACAGACTACTCAAGTTAAGTAAACTGTGTGCTGTAGTAAGGTGATGAGGCTTTCAGCATTATTTCTATTTTCTCAAGAATAATGACATTTATGTATGTAATATACATTACGATATTTACCTGCACAAATACAACAATGTCCCACAGTTCTTTGAGGACAGTGATCTCTCTTCTGCATAACCTGATGTCTCTGTAGTCAGGAATCGTGACGTCAAATAGATTTGTGGAGTCCTGAAGCTCTGCTACTTCTTTCTCCATGTCTCGAATTGCTTTTTCAGACTAGGAATCAAAATGTGACAACTGTGATGCATAATGTACAATACAGTGTTATTTTTAATGCTACAATCAAGCAATGGCTAAACTTGTACTTTCTCCAGAGTGATGTAGGGCTGCTCTGCATTGTAGCTGAAGGGTGCGGTTGCTCTGAACATCTCTCTGAATTTGCTTTGTTTCACCTGAAAAATAAGAAGTACCACTTTAACAGTCTTCACAATAAGGTAAACAGTACAACAGCTTGTTCACTGCGCATATATAATTTCCCTGGAAATAAATGAGACTTGATACCTCAAATGCCATGCACTGTCTTCGTAAAACCATCACTTCTGCATTCTGCAGGGGTGCCACCTCATGTCTCATTTTTAAGGCCAGTTTTTTAGCCTCACTCCATTTCTCAGGGAGTTCCTATGGAAACAATTATTTTGAGTTCTTAGAGGCTGAATGACCACGAAATGAATATGCAGCATTCAGACTCTGTCTCTGAATAAACTATCAGTTATTATTGTATTATTTTAGTTACTACTTGAAAGTGGTAAGAAAATACTAGCGTTATCAAACTCCTTTCCTTACCTCCATCTGAGAATAGACCTGGTCCGGTATGGTCACATCATATTGTTCCAGGAGGATTATTGCATCTCTAAGAGGCTCAAACATCCTGTCTGTGGCTGTTTGCCTGTCTCTTACAGCTAACAGGTGACTCATAACTTCCACCAAACTACGATGGTCTCCCTTAGCCACACACTGTCTGAGTCCTTCAATAGTGGTTCGGACAAACCTCTGCAGCTCATCAAGACTGAAATGGGAAAGCAGGCATCGTGACAACATCTCATATTATAGTTTGTTCAGAATTTAATAGCCAGTCAAAAATTTTACCTGTCAGTGACATATGTCAAGAGGTGTTCTTTAAAAAGCCAGCTCCACTTCTTTACAGTGTTAAGCAGGCTGACTTTAAAGAACTTAATATCAACCCGAAACCATCCATTGAACACTCTAAAGTCTTCAAGCTTGGAAATTTCAGCATACAGATCCTCATAATAATCTATCTGCAACATTAAAACAACAAATTATAACTAGGACAGATGCTATGTACACAAAAATATGATTCATGATTTATAAAAGACTTTTACCTGTTCTTTGAAGTTGTCAATTGTAGGTGGGCTCTCAGGGAGTACATCAGCTTGATAGGCCTCCATCTCTTCAGCTGTAAGTACACGTCCATACAGGAGAAACTGGCTGAGAAACTCCAACATGTCATCTTGCCACAAAAGGGTGTAGCAGTCAAACCTTCTCTGGTAATTTATCACTTTGTCCAGGACGCTCTCCACTTGCTTCATTATTTCCTGTCTCAGGTCCAATAAATCCAGCATGTCATCCATTACATCCTGTAAGAGTTATATTACACGGCATGATTATCACAAGTATCTACTGTGCTGAAGAATGCACACTGAGTTTTCACAATTTTAGCACAGTTAAAAGAGTACACTTTTTCAGTTGTTTTATTCTACTGCCTCCTCTTGGACCACATCTCATGTCTTCTATCTACATATGTTTATCTATGTTGCCGTTGTAAAAACCAGGAAGCCACGGGCTTTGTTCTGGTAGGGGACATGCCTAAGGTCTATAAACACCTGTAATAAAGGTATGCATTTACCACCAATATGTGATAATGTCTGACACACAGCCATCCAGAAGGATGTAGCACTAGAGCCTTTGTAGGCACACATGTAAAAACATTCCTATCTACTGAGAGGCTGCAGTAATTTCATGTTATTGTCTTGTTGGTGACTTGACTGATAGTTTATCTGACATAAAAACAGGTTCATGCATTATAGTCTTTCAATCTAGTTAGCCAAGCAGGTTAAAACAAATGTGCTGTCTCAAGTTCCCAATTTACAAGACTTTGTAGTTATATTCCTGCACAGGTGAAAAAGTTAACTAAACCAAATCATTGCATTGTTAATCTTTCAACATCCTAATCTGCAGCAGAGTACCTGGTAGCTCTCCACGCTAAGATGAGCAGCCACTCTCTTGATATTCACTGAGATCTTAAATATATCTCCGACTAGTCCTTCTATTAGCTCATAGAGGCCGTCCCCTGCATCTCGCTCCAGTGAGGGGAGGAAAACCATTCCTGAGTTTCTCAGCACCAGCTTAGCCTCAAACAGAGGAGTCTGGTTTACCCATGACCCCATGTTGTCCACAAAGAACTGAAGAGAGTGACTGATGTAACTGAACAGTCCCTCCACCACCATCTCATCCACATATTCCAGGTAGGACTGCCACATTTCTGATGCAGGGTCAGCATGGAAAAGGACCAGATTCTCCTGATGAAATTGTAGGATATTGGAGAGATGGTTAGCACAAAAACTATCAATCCTCTGCCTCTATGTCTGTATCACTTGATTTCTGGGAACAGTAAATACTGTCATATTTAATTTGAGGCATTTTTATCTTGTTCAGAACAAAGAAACAATATGTTTACATGGCTCCCCCAGTATCTGAGCATGTTAAAATCTATCAATTAAAATAATTTGACATCTGATTATTTCTGATGAAAAAAATTAAACTGATTAAACCTAGAAAGTTTTAAACCAACAGCATAAAACCTCAAGGCTATATTCAAAACATGTAGCAACAGGACAGATAAAGGTTGGGTTCATATTTGTCTTATATATTTATCTTATGATAAGGAAAGAAAATCCAAAACTAAACACACACAAAAATTACACAATATAATGCAAATAAACAAGGTTTAAATTGCACAGCACTACAATCTGATGAATATCTATACAACAAGCTAAAAGGTTTTGGAGCCATGCCATTCCTTTCATGTTTATACTGTTTACTTAGTTCAGCAACAGTAAGTATTCATGAAATATCTATAATGCACAGGAGTGGATATTATCATAGATTCAGTTATATGCACCTGTACCAGCTCATGGATAGAGTCTCCAGCCTTCTTCATGCAACTGTACTTCCTGTTGACACAGTCTGCCCGGTCTTCCAGTTGTATGAGTGAGCCTCTCTTGTTGTCCTTTCTGCAAAACATGGCCTGTTTGCTCCATTCCTTCATCACTGACTGTATGGTCTCACAATTTTCCTTTGCTCTACTGACTCGACATACAAGGTCTTGGACGAGGTCTTTGGTGGTGCTGATGAAGCTCCAGCAATCTGAATCCTGCCATGTCAGGCCAGTCTCTGCTCTTGTCAGGTGTAGGTCAATGGATTCCAGTTCTGCTCTGATGAGAGGAAGTTCTACCTCTAGCACTGACTTTTTGAGCTTGTTGTACCCTTGTACTAACAGCTGCAGACCACTCACATACTGGAAAATACAGGTGTGAAGAACATATATTTCAAGTGTCATTATGTAAAAGGTAACAAGAAAGACTTGTTGCTTACTGTTTCCACAAACTGTTTGTTTCTGACCTTTGTAAACATGTTACGCTGCTCAAAAACAGTTATTGCAGCTGCAGGGATGTGGAACTGACTGAGAGTCTGAATAAACTTCACATCTTTCAAGACTTTAGTCAGCTGGGGAGTGAAAGGAAATAGTGATTAATGCCTAAGCATAGTCGCAATGGGGTGGTGGTAAAATGTTTTGCCTCAACTAACAGAAACCTTTGGAGAATATAACTAAAATTATATGACTGTAACAAATAACTAGTTCTTCTGCCAAGATGGTTGTTTTTTTTCCACTTATTACCAAGGAATAACTAACCCCAATCAAATGGTCATCTACATCTGGATTGTGCACTATTAGAGAAATACTACTATTTGACCATAGTACTTAGACAAGTAACACAAAATAAGCCAACTGGCACCCCTGTTTTGAGGGATCTTGAAGGCATGACAACTTGAAGGATGATTTTCTGTTTTTGTTTTACACAAATTCCATAGAGACTAAAACCAACAATGAAATTCATGTACTCACTATTAAGTCTGTGAATACAGAACCCGATTCAGCTCATTCATTGGTGCTGTAGACACAGTGAGCCACTGCACTGGGCGTCATCCTTCTCACAAAATACATGGGGTTCATCCATATGCTAAAACAGCCATTATTCTGTACAGTCTCTGATGTAAGAAAAGATGAACAGAATATGCACGTAATCTCTGCTCTGTGTGCCCCACTTTGCTAGCTTCTCACACTACACATAGCAGCGAGAATATCTGACACAGGGGTGTGGCTCACTGGTATGTTTTTAATAGTTTTTGGAGAACAATGTAGGCTGCCAGCACAGAGGACTTAGCTAAACCAGGTTTTGGATTCCCTGACAATATGATGACAAAAAAATTAATTTTTGGTTTTAGTGTCTTCATAAGATTTGTTAAAAATAACCAAAACACAGAAAATCATTGACCGTGTCCTTTAGTCTTTAAAAGACAGACATTCCTACATCACACTATAAGTTGGATAATTATTTATCACTGGAGGGTGTTTAAGACAGTGAGTGCTTTAAAAAGTTTATGGGGACATTACACTGGTCACCTTTGGATTGAAATTGACAGCGATCAAGCCAGATGAGCCATTTCTTGAGATAAGGGGCTGGTTCAGGTTGATCAGGCAGACCTTTTCCAAATCATTACACCATTCAGAGTAAATGTCCTCCTCATATTGGTCCAGGAGACCCAATATCTCCATGTACATGTTGTACTCCATAATCTCCACTGCAGGCCTGAAAATGTAGCATAATTGTGAGATAATTGTCATTTTAAGGCTGATACAACAGTCATGTTGTTTTATACTGTTTCCATGTTTTTATGACTAATCTGTCAATAAATCCTTGTTAGCTAGTGTTTGTAACTCATTCATTGACTGAAATCAATAAGGTATTTTTGCTGACATGTCCACCAGTAATCTGATTTTTTCCCATGGTGTTTGAATGCGTTCTCTGAGCATTTTAGCCCACTTCAATGTGCCAGATGTGTGAACCATATTCTTAGTCAGACCACTCTCCATCTGTAAACAGAAAGATTGGAAAAGAAATACTGAATGTACAATACCTATTGTGCTTTGAATACATATTTCTAATCTCCAATTTTCGCAGAGTACCTCTGTGAGCTGGGATTTATACAGGTGTCTACAGTTCTCTAGTTCTTCTCTGAAAAGTTGCTGCAGCCAAAGGAAGCTGGGACTGAATATCTGTCTAATTTGTCTTCTCTCCAAGAAAGGTCCAACAATAGTTAGTAGCTAAAAGACAAAGAAGAAAACATACTAATGTCCCACTTCATAGTACTGTCCCTAACTAGTCACATTATTAATAATTTCACCAATATTAGCCAATCTTGCTTACTTTGAAAGCTGATTCCAGTCCTGAGCACTCCTTAAAAGCCATGCTTAGAAGGTTGGCAAGGCAGCTTTCAAAGTCCACAATCCACACTTTGAAATCCTTATACTCGTTTTCAAAATCCTTTTGAAAAATTCAACAATTCAATAGTATTTAATAATGAACAAAGGCTTAAATTCATTCATCATAATTTTCAGTTAATTTGAATGATTTAAAATATGCAGTAGCTGATCATGAAATTCATAAATCAGTATTATGAATGACATCAAAAATCATTTTTTAGGCAATTTCACCAGAGAGTTTAAGTCAAGTGGACTGTTTTCACTGTGCTTCAGCACTTGGCAGTGATCACTGAACTCTTTGTACATCTGAGCAGCATGCTCACTGTAGAGTTTCCCTTTAAGTCCACCAAATTCCAGCTTCTCGATCCTCTGAAATTCCAGCATAATGCCAAACAACTCCTACAAAGACAACACATTGTAACAGAAAGCAAAAACATTAAAAAAAAAAAACACAACCTTACTGTGGCATCTAAATACAAAAACAAAAAGGTGATCTCACCTCCAGCTGTAACATACGATTAAGGAACTGGTTGAAACGTGCAAAAATCATGGCAGATGGAAAATCCCAGGGTGCATGTTTCACATGGCTGCTCAACTTCTCTCTCTGGGTTTGGTAACTGTCTGTGAAACTTCTAAAGATTTTTATCACCCTTTTTACCATTTGTAGACCTTCCTCTGGTTCATCTCTGATGAGCAGGTCTGCAGAGAGGTATTCAGAAGCCTAAAAGATGAAAGGTTTTATATTTGTGAATTTATTCACAAAGAAAATTTAGTAAGTGAAATGGTGATTGACTAAGCGTATCTGAAAACAACTCCATTCACTGTCCATTCAACTATTTCACATATGGGTGACAGTCAGTGTAAACCAACTCAAGTGCTTTAAATGAGCATTCTTACCTGTTCGATGAGCACATTGCAAAGTTCCTGTAATAACACCACAATGTGTGCTGGTCTTTGATAAGACCGGCAGGTGGTCCAGATGAGGAAGATTGTGTGAAACAGTGCAGGTATGGATGTTTCAAAGTGAAGAAAGCCTTTATTTTCTAGCTGAGACAGTTGTTTATGTAGCGGCTGTAGATGAAGGTCAATGTCCTGGGCTTCTTGTAGTGCTATCACGGAAGAAAACATTTTTGTTTATTTTGTGTATCAAACATTTGACAAGGTGCAAGCTACAGGTTATCTTCCTTTACTATGAAAAAGACACCAGTTAATCTTACCATCAAAAACATTTCCAGTTAGAGTCTTGATTGTTGGATGATAGCTGCTATCCATCATCTCCAACACCTTTGCCATTTTTTGAACAATGGGACTCTGAAGCTACAAGTGAAAGTTCCAAACACTTTAATAAAAAGAGCAATGTCAAGAGATAAAAAGAAATTAAATCACATTACAGTAAAGATCAAAGAAAAGAAAAAAAGGGGAGAATACCTGATGATAAATATTCTGTATATTGCTCTTCCTGGAAGCCCAAAACTTCAGCTCCACAACGGGACCTGGATTACAGCCTGTTGAAAGCAGATCTGATGAATCTTCCTTTAAAATTTTCTGGATCAAACTGGTCCAGTTGATAACCTGGGTCTCAATGGTGTGGGCTAGTGCTCTGTCATAGTTACCATACCTGAGGATGAAAATATATAATAAATGCATTTATATTTAGCATATAAACAAAGATCAAAGACTCTGAAACAAAGCAAAACAAGTCTTCTTACAGTTTGAAGATAGAGCATGAATTTTCCATCCAATCTGTCACATTTGGGATTGGGAGGACAGTTTTTCCTATAACCTGTTCCCGTAAAACTGATGTCTTCCAGCACATCCTCTCAACATGTCGAATGATGTCTTCAGACATCAGATTTGGCCACATATGATGGTTTTTGTAGTTTGCCAGGAGTGGCACACATACCTTGTGAAGAGCCAGAAGAAATTCACAACAGACTTCACAAGGGAGAACTAGAAATCCACATAAGAAAAATAACTGACAGCACAAGCAGTTTTTTTAAAGAGACTGTTGTATGATGGAGGGTATAATAATCACCTGCTCAAATGTGCTTGACAGCTGCAGCAGCGGTGAAGGAGACAGAAGGCCAAAAAGCAAGAGTCCCTTGTAGTTATCCGAGTCTACGGGATCAACTCTTTTCTTAAGAATATAGATTTGCTTGTTTTGAGCAACAGGTCGGGCCTACATTTAAAATAAGATGACATATTTTTACTACAAACAGATACGGTACATTCAAACAATTAAATAAGATCAGCCTGCATAAACAATCAATCTGTAGTAATATGTCTAAGGCTTTGGCTAACATACGGTAACTTGGCTAGCAAGTGTACATGCTAAGTTAGATATGAATGAAGAAATAAATGTTATTGGAGAGGCTGTGCTGCAGCCATAACTTACCTCCTTCGAAGCAACCAGGCAACCTTTTAATGATGAAGAGAAAAATATAACAGACTCCTTTCCAAAGAAGTCTTTCAGAAGAGTTTGAAACCCTTCGCTGACAGCACTCTTCTCCCATGTTTGAGGCGGCAGCTGCAGTAGCCCACAAACTTTTTCCTCGACAAACTTTACTCTGACGTCCTCAACAAACGAAGGCACACGTTCGTCGTCGGACATGATTTCTCTACGACAAAAACATGCTTTATCCCAGTCAATACCTTCAACAAAACGGGAAAAAATGACGCTTCAGACACCAGCCACTAAATTAGCAGTTTACCTCGTGTTAGAATAGCTTTAACTTAACTATAGTAAACTGGTACAGTCCTGGAGGCGGGTCAGCATTCCGTCGCATAGCAACAGCGACTGCCCTCAATCACTGTCAGGTGTGTATCTTTAGCTCCCAGCCGTCTCGAGCTCCAAAATGAAAAACATTTCCCCAGTTAAAGTGATAAAGTTTTAAAATACATTTTAACATTTCTCCCAGTAGCCTCTGACTGCACCTAGTATAGGCTACTACTGACTGTGCCATTTTACATTAACCTATTTTCGATTACAGACTGTCAAGCATGTGGGGTTAAAAGGTTGCTCTAGTTTGCATTCCATAATCCATACGGGGTTTTAAAATTTAAATCCGTGGTGGCTTAAAGTTTAGCTTTCCACAACTTCTCTGTGTTTTAATTTGCTAAATCCTGTAGGCCCATTACATAGTTTTGCTTTCTGAATGAGCCTTATTTGGTTCACTATAGGCGTAAGCTACAGTATCATTGGTAAGTACAAGAATTTTTTGGAATGTGTTGTAAACTTGATATGAAGTTATATGTTTCACAGATGTGACTTAAATAAAGGACATGTACTTATAATTAAAGTCAAAATAATAATTCAGCTTGAAATCATACATAGCCTGGAAAAATGTTGAGAAACATTAAACCTCATGTCCATTTGAAGGTTCAGTGACCTACTGTATTGTCATTTCATTGGGCAGTTGACAAATGAAGTATATGAATATACAGTAATTCAAACATTCCTGGTTTAAACAGATGCAAATAGTGTTGTACACATGGCCCTCTTATAACAGGACTGTATAGGAAGGGGGCTCTTTGTTAAAGTCACAAACTGTAACAAAATGTAGATGATAGGCTATTTGTGTTGGTGGCTAATCTTACTGTTGTCTTCACAGCAGCATGATACTCAGCAGCTGCCATTTACAGTATACAGTGTATCTTAGTGGCCTGACTACTTTAAATAAATACAAAATGTACTTATGGAGTAGCCTAGGGATTTAATCAGCTGACTGATGTATTAATAAATACATTAGGTTAATTATTTTTATTATAGTATATAAACATATTCCAATATGTTTATTGGGGATTGTATTTAGTTAAAGCAATTTGTAAAATTTCTGGAAAATGCACTCCTTACTGTAGAGTGACTTTCTTTTTCTGTGTTTTTTCATCAACAAACAGAACCTCAGGAAAACAGGTAGCAGAGTGAGACAAACTCCTCAGGTTTGCAGGTGGCAGTACCGTTTTGAACCTCATCACTGACAAAGACAAGACCACCTACAGGGAAGAGGCTGCCTGCCTGTTGCTATGGTGCTAATAACAAGTTGGAAGGAATGCATTCAAGCAGTTAAGATGAAGATGGCTCCTCATGTAATCCACATACTCATTTTACTCTGAAAATCAGTTCAGATGTTAACATAGTCGAGGACATGAGTCATTCAATTTGCTAAAGACCAAAAAATCTATACATCATCAATTATATGTGGAGGGAGAGAAAGAAAGTGAACATCATGCAATCTGCTTCATGTACTATTATAGTATCTTCCTCTCCTTTTGTAATAACAATAAAGTAACAAACATACAGTATAGAGAGAGAGAGAGAGAGAGAGAGAGAGTATATACACACACACACACACACACACACATCTTTTTCAGTTTTACTTCTTACTCTGATCCAGGAGCTGTAACATCACAAAGCATGCAAGACAGACTGCAACAATTGTGCCCTCCCAAGCAACCAAAAACTATTTCCTAGCAAACAGTGCACTTCTGGCACTATAGCTGCCACTTCGTCTATTTTACTGCCAAAGCTTGTTACACTGCTGAGCTAGCCCTCCTAATATCTCCATCCACTGCATGCTGTGCTGTCGGCCACAACAAAGAATCTGTTGCAATCATACTATAAATATTTACATTCATTTATCTCCCACAGCCATTGACTCTAATATTAAAATTGGTGTTCAGACACTGTGCATAATCTGTTTTCCTGGATTATTCTATTAATAAGTATACTGCAGTTAGGTATCCTAAAACATTTGAACCTGTGAATGTATAAATTTGATTTGATTGATTTGATTTATTGATTCTTTCAAACATGTAACAACAGTCAGTATGTAATCACACATAATTCCAGACATATCCACAAAAAATCTTTTCAAATTGCTTATACCTAGTACATGCTTGAACGGAGTAGGAAGAAGTCAGACTTATCCAGTCCTACCCCCTAACATCATCTTATCATCAGTGGTTTGCAAGCAGTATTACTACATGGATACATATTCTACATCCACACTCCCATCTGATTATCATTAAGCCTGTTCTTGCCCATATCTTGATTGACACATACCTTTATATTTGTTTAAACTCATCAATTTTCTTACTGTTTTTTTATGTCCACACTTAAATTATTCCATAGTTTTACCCCACTTATGGAAATACAAAATCTTTTTTTAGTTGTACGTATAGCATGAATTTTTAAATTTAACTGACCCCTTAAATTGTATCCCCCTTCCCTTTCATTAAATAGTTTTTGAATTCCACCAGGTAATAAATTGTTCCTGGCTTTATACATAAACACAGCAGTCTTATATCCCACTAAATCCAGCAACGTCTATAAAGCCAAAATCCCAAATACTATACAACGTAACAAGCACTTCCCTGCTGC